CCAAGTCTCTTGGTGTATTTTTTGATGCCCGGGGGAGTTATTCCCTTATATAAGCTATATAGGATTGTGCCACCCCATTGGATAGGGTTTTTGCGCCTTTTTGTTCTGAAACCGGGTCTAGATTTTGCCCATTTTGGTCTGGAAACGCGTATGGTTTTCGAGGGAACTACAGGAGTGTATGAACGTTTTTATCGTTTCAATTCCAAATAAGTAGGAGCAAGATAGGTAAGAAAGAAAGAGAAATAAGAGAATTCTAAATGGATTTGAAGAAAAATGATGACAAGTAATGATGACATAATTTCTGCCAACATGCCAGGTCTGAATTCGGGTGTGGATTTTAGAGGTCTGGTCTGAAAACGGGTCCTTTTTTTCGCTGGTGTGATTTTCGAGCTTATTCCATACACCCCTCCCCCTCCCCCCAAAGAAATATCAGCCGTTTGGCCCTTTTCCACTCAAATGGCTTCAAATTTCGCTACAATAGGTTCGTTTTAAAAAAATCAGCTAAATATATTATAAGCTTACCATAACACCTTCTCTTAATTTGTTTCAGCTTCTGGCCAAGTTGTTTCTTCTATTTAGGAACACTTGTGCCCATTACATGGACTGCGGAGCTTCGACTTTTGGAAGGCAGACTCAACAATGAAACTATGGACGCAAAGAAAACCATGCCGGGAGGGGTAAGAACGGAAATAATTCACCAAAGTGGTGTCGCATGAGGTTAGGGTAGGGGGCATTGAGTGAAAGTTAGTCTGTGGAAGCGGATTTTTCACTGTTTATACACATATTTCACCAAGGGAGGATAAACGTAAATATTTAAAGGTAGACAAACCTATTTGAAGGTCGACAAACCTACTTGCTTTCTACATTAATTTCCCAGATCCGTGTCAGTCAAGAAGAATTAAAAAAGTTATGTGAGATTGGGCTTATGCTGATCATTATTTTAAGCCGTTGGTTGCTTCCTCGTGGCTCCATCACGCGCGATCAGCTGTCCCTGTTGCTCCTCGAGTACGTAGCCATTGCTGCTGATATTCTGGAGTTGTTTGAAGCTTTTGAAGACGAACAGGTGTTTATCTGTATACTGCTTTTTTTAATAAATCATTCGCTTCAGTGAAAACAAATCCAATGGCCATTCTATGTTGAATTGAACTAAAGGAATGTCAGGCCGACGATTGTGACTCAGTCAGCTCTCTAACCACGCAGTGGCCTATTAAAAGACCTTATCATTCGTGATAAGGTGGTTCAAAATTGTGATCATCTGACCAGCAAACCTAGGGCGGACGTAGCGCTCCTTCCACCATAATTTAAATTTTCTCTTTGGAAAATAATTGTTCTCGTAGCACACGACGTTAAACGTTTATGCTTCGCACACTTTGCCCTTTTCTTCTTGCAGACTATTCATTACCAGTAAGTTCATGTCCTCCCAAAGGACTATTTTTTCTCTCTTGCAATGATGTAATTTCTCTCGATTTTCGTTTATTAAAACACGACTCAATCATCGTCAAGGAAGTGAAAACCTTTTAGCAAGGAAATCCTGTTTTGGGTAGAATAAATCGCCTCCTCAATTCTTTTCTATCTCCAAGCAAGCGAGACTTCAACTCTTCCAGAGCGTTCTTGTTTAACTTAGACAAACAAACATCGAAAAAGCAATGGTACACAGAAGACGATTTCTCAAAATCTACTCATTAAAATTTTGTGATATTTGGCAGAATTTTTACTTTTATCGTATTCTAAATAATTAGAACTTTAAATGGAAGTTGAACGGACGAATTTTGAGACACATTAAATAAATACAGTACAATTATATTATTGATTATCTATAAAGGTCCGTCTGTTAAAATTTGGTCATGAAGTTTCAAATGGTAATGACTAATTATAGTATTCTGTGTGCAAGTTTATAGCCAAATCTGATGGGCGAATTTTATGTAAACTGAGCAAAAGTGAAATTTGAAGGTTGTATTAAAAGGTTCTTGTTGCCATGGAAACTAGGAAAACGTCAGTTTTACCTGTCAATCAAGATCTTTCATCGGTATATTTTTCACTTGCAAAGTTTGTGAACTACCTTTCTCTTGCCATGTTTTGACGAATGACATATACTCACAAACTGCCAAAACTGTGTTCAGCCACCTTTAAGGCAGAGACACATGCACATAGAATACTAATGAAGGTAGACTGATGAAACTGGATAAAGTCTTGAACATTTATTGCTACTCACAGTTTCATGCTTCTTGCGAAGCAATCATCCGGCAACCCCACGGCCATCAGTCTAATGTTATTCTGCTCTAGTCGACATAGTTCAACTTAATTGAGCAGTGACTCTTATAGTCGATGAGGGCCGTCATCACTCTAGTAGTTGGTAAGATACTAATGTAAATGCACGATGATCGTTATGGTCTTGTGAACCAATGTTGTGAATCAAGAGCTTCGCTTTTAGGCTTGCCTTAAATGTTCATTGATTTGACATGAGAACGCTTATTAAAGCTATGATTGATTTCAGGTTTCGAACAATAGAGAGATAACATTGTTTACACTTGGAGTGTTTACATGGAGTCTTTTGCAATTCACCCTGGTTACCACGTCAATGGGTAGCGATAAAAGCCAACAAGACGAGGCTGACATAGAAGAAGAAAAGGTGAAAACGAACACAAAACGTTGAATTTTTTCTTATTTTCTTACTCGTCGCATAAAACAAGCCAGCGTGACAGGCATCAAAAGCAGAGGGCAGGGGCACCCAAGGGGCACCCAACGACGGTTTCCTCCTAAATACATTAAAAATACTTTTTAGACTATCCAGAGTGCTTTTAGATCTCTAGAATTGCATTTTAAGCGGTGCTATAAAATTTGTATCTGTTCGGTCATCCTAGGGGAGCTTGAGTCTTATTAGAGTCTAATTTATAGAATTATTATTTTCCCGAAAATTTTAGATGCAATTTAACGTATTACGAAAATGAAGAATTTTTCTGATTCCTCTCTCCATCACATTATTGAATCCGAAAATTTTAGGTTTCCTTTTTTGTACCAAAAAGAGCCCGACCTAGGGAGTGAAATGTAAAATATTAAACTTCAGAAAATCGTAAGGAATTTTAATTATTAGATAAGCTTCGAAAATTGTCCATGAATGGAACGGTCATCTAGAAATTTTTAGCTGTCCTCAAATACACCTTTTGCCCTTCATTACCGGGAAATAAGTTTCTATTAACGCTAAAATATTATTCCTTTAACTAAGGTACAAACAATTTAGCCAAGGAAGCAGACATTTAAGTTTGCGGCATAGTCATTAAAGATTTTTACATCAAGAAGAACAATCATTAAGGCTAATTTCTATACCATTTTATCAAAAATATCATTCTTTAGTGCGAATGAAGTTTCATTTTCATTAGGTGGATGTTCGTTTATGAGAATAGAATATCAATAACAATTATTATTATTACGAGCATTATCTTACCAATATTGCGTTACATTTGGAGGTATCCTTTAATTCGCGCGGATTTTATATACCTAACACTAGTATTGCAGAAGTGGGGGTCATTTCGTTAGGCTTGTACAGTGTACATGTATCTACATACTGTAATTTGCTGCTGTGCTTCCACAAACAAACACGCAATGTGTACAATGCTTAGTCAATACATGTACAAAACAGGGAGCAGGAGGATAAATAATAATGGCCAGAAAATTTGCTGCGTGGTTTAGACCCATACAGACCAATATGTATAAGTCTGTATATACCTGTGCAGACCTATATCCCGCGATGTTTGAACGGCGAAAACATTGAAGGATAAATGAACTTAATTGTTAAAAAACACTATATCTTTTCTGGTAATGAATTTTTTTTCTTGTTAAAGAACATTAAGATGCCACAAATGTTTGATTATTTTTTCTAAAAGATTGTTATTTTCACCGAGTTGAAACTATATTGGCATTAATGAATGTTCATGCCTATCTAAAATGCTTTATTGATCTCACAAATAATTAAAGCGATTGTTCATTTTTCTGCACTGATTGCACATTCATTATATCGACTGACATTTTGATGCTAACGAAAATTTATTTCCTGGTAATTAAGGGCAAAAGGTGTTAGAACATTCTTGGCAGCATTTGCTTCTCCGAACAGATATTTTACAGAAAACCGTCGTTGGGTGCCCATGAAAGGGAAAGGCTTAAAAAACAGCAATACATTAGGAGTGTGATGAAACAATAGACCTGTTTCCAATTATTACAATACCCACTTGGCACCGAGGCTGAAGGGCATAAAACAAAAGAATCGCATTGAGAATCAGTGATCAATAATTCATTACTTTTGTTGTATTCCCCTCAACCTCGAAGCCAAGTATGAATTTTGATTCGAAACTGCCCTATTCTGTAAGCTTCCAAAGCTGCAAACCATGTTAAAAACGGGATATGGTTAGCCCGGCCGGCCCCACCTATAGCCTGCGAATACAGGCTTTATCCTTGCTTCTCGCCACTAACGATGTTTCGCCAGGCGTCCCTGGTGGCGAGGAGGTAGGAGAAACGGCTGTATTCGCAGGCTTGCCCCACCTATTAACTTCATATTTGATGATCACTTAACAGGAATGGGATCTTTTGTATTTTTTGTTTGTTTGTTTCGTTGTTGTTTTGTCGCATTATTGACACACCGATAATTCATGGGTGAAGTGGTTAGAGTCCAAAAGCCATCCCATAAGCTGATGAGCTCTCCTGAGTGTCAGTAAAATACCGACTTGGGGCAGAGGTCGGAGCTTATTGTTCTTGTTTTCATTTTCTGTTGTTTTCCCCTTACAAAAACAGTCAAACACAAAATGAAACAAAAGTACAATGGACACTGACACCCGAACTGAGTCGAAGTTCTACTGGCGCCCGACTCTCTTCCAATACTTATCATCTTTTTTTTTCTGACTTTCAGGTAGGAGTGGAAGTTTCTGGCTTATCCAGAAAATATCTCCGAAAAGCTGTCGAAGCTAAGGAAAAGCAAAAACAAGAGCTTCGCCAGCTACAATTTGAAAACGAGGAAGCCGAAAAAGAAATGAGAAAGTTAGAGCTGCAAGGAGACCGATATGGGATCATTGCAGCCATGTTTATGCAAGATGTTCCCTTCTTGATTCTCCGACTTTATCTTGTGTTTACCTACGACTTCTTCAAATCAACGTTTCTTTTTTATATCGGAAAGAACATAATTTCTCTTATGTTGATGATATATCGCCTTTATGTTATTCACTTTCACGCAAAGGACAAGGAAATCATTATTGAAAAACCAAACGGATTTCGGGGTCTTTCATTCGCATTAATTGGAGCTCGGAGATTCAAGTCAACCAAAAACAGCAAAAGGAATGGTGTTCGCAAACAAGGCCTTTTTTCACCAAAACTGAGCAAGTAGAAAAAAATACAGACAAAACTTTCACTAGGCTCAGAGCAGGAAAGCCGGTCACACAGGTGGCAATGAAGCGAGCCTTTAAATACACATTTTATTAAGCAGGACACAACAAGCAATTATTAGTATGTATAAGAGGTTTCGAAGAGTTTCATGACAGGAAATTAATATGAGGGCAGCATGGCCGAGTGGTCAGCGCTTCAGAACCGCCCAGGCTCGAGTCCTGCTTTGACCACAACGGCTGAATTTGCTTAGTGGTCAACTTGCAGACCACGCTTGTTTAACAATTATTCCTCGAGCCCGAATGGGCTCTGAGTCAATAGCCCAAAAGGCCGAAGGCCGAATGGGTTATTGACTCAGAGGCCATGAGGGCGAGAGGAATAATTGTTTTAGTAAAATCCAACTAGTTGGTCAAAAATATCGAGAATAATAAAATTTTAGCCAGTTAAAGCTAGACTTTAGTCCTTTTTTGCCATCAAAGAGCGCGCGCTTTTTGCTACTCTACTAGTGGGCTATAACATATAGCCTAGTAGTAGCTCAACCAATCAGAACACAGCATTGATAATAGACCACTAGTTGGATTTTACTAAAATGTAAATAGCCAACTGGTTGCCTCCTGCCAGTGAGGTGTTTTCGTCACCTTTGTCATGTTAAAGCACTCAATTTGAATAGAAAGAGTTGCGTTTTTCATGCACCAGGGCTCTTTCTTCGCGCTTGCCTTTGCGTGCTTGAAAAATACAAAATACAACACGTATTCTGCAAGCTAACAAGAAGTCCAACTCTCTTCTATTCAAACTGACTGAGTGCTTTACAATAACAAAGGTGACGATTTTTAGCTAAATTTAAAAGCCCACTTTATTTCATGTAGAGACGCAAATAAATCACAATAAGCTTTCAACGGAAAGATAATACTAAAAATTTCCGCGTTAATTTCGGAATATATAGTCCAATAACACAAATTTTTCATCCAACGAACTTCCAGGATGTCGTGAAATGTATAAAGTTTGAATATGAAGTAATGCGTGTGCAGGCATCTTACTGGAACCTGGTGGGGGGGGAGGGGGTACTTGGGTTAATATTTGCTGGGTATCTGCCGCTGGCATGTCAGAGCCCCTACCCCATTATAGTCTATTCTGTGGCCAAATATAGACCCCATCTTAGTCACTTTGGGGAAAATGTAATTTTCGGGATCTCAACTTAGTAACTTTCTGTTTATGCATCTACTTTAAATATCCTGTTACCTATAATCTTATAATAAAATGAAATATATGTATGTTACTCTCTGATACATTGAAGTCTTTATGCAGTGATGAAGTACGGATAATGCACATGTTCAGATATTTTTGTTGTGGGATTTTATAAAATGTTTATTCTAAAATGTTTGATGAAATAGCTACAAGATTACTACTTGTTTCTGGACTCGATTCTGTCCATCTTGCAAACATGCCACCAAAAATGAGAATCTCCCCCCTGGCTACCACAACAGAATGCAGTGAGGTGGCAGGGGAGGATCCCTGAGTAATGGGGGGAGGATTCCACGAACATGAGAAATGAGATCGGATTTGACTGCAGTCTAGTATGAATATCTGCATGGGCAGCAAGCCATCTAGCCCAGGACGCTGGTGTCCAATTCCTTGTTGTTCATTAGATGAAGGAGTTAGTACATGTGCTTGATTGCGTGGTACACTAAACACAACAATCACATCATTGATGCGGACAGCTGGATGGCACCACAGTTGAGGTGCTTCCCATTGACGGTTCTTTACTTCTAGTTCCTGCCAGATCCATTCATTTGTATCCAGGATCCACACATCTCCAAACAACTTCAACAGAGAGAGTAGTGTCTTCATTTGTTGAACTTATTGGGGATTGAAAAATTATACAAGGGACAGTGTGCCATTCAAAATAGGCCCACCACATGAAATCATGCTACATGTATCTTACATGTACACCTAAAATAAATTTACAACATTTGATTTTTGATGTACAATCAAACCCTGTTAATCAGACACTGATAGGGCCAAAGAAAGAGTTTGTATTAAAAGGGGTGTCCGAATTAAGTGGGTTTAGTTAAGAGAAAACGTAAGGGCTTTCTTTCCCCAGGGACAAAGCAAACTGTACATACAATGTATTAATGAGGTGTCCCTATTAAGCAGGTGTCCATAAAGCAGGGTTTGACTGACGTCAAATTATGCAATTGGCCAATTTTAGGTTAGTACATACGTGCATGCCCACAGCAAAATTCCCATTTCCTAACCCTTGGTTTTTAGAAATTCTCCAATAATTTAAACCAAAGCTAACTTTCCTCGTTGTTGTTAGGGCAAAATTTGTTGTTGTTGTTGTTGTTGTTGTTGTTGTTAGAGTCAAACACTGTAGTTGCAACCCCCATTTTTCAAGCCTCCCGATAATTGGTAACAATAAGAAGAGAGAATAAGAAGAGAAGATGGGAAAACCAGAGTACCCAGTGAGAGAAAAACCTCTCAGAGCAAGGGAGAGAACCAAAAACGAACCCAACCCATGTATGGCATCAATGCTGAGATATGAAGAACACTGGCCACATTTGTGGGAGGTGATTGTTCACACCTCTGTACCAACCTTGGTTCCCTAAGATAAAGGAATAAGGAGATCATGCTTACCAAGTTTGGTCCACCACATCCTCCAAGTATCAGTACTGTATGATCATCTATTGCCATCTAAAACATAATACATAATAAGCTATGTTAATTACTGCTAAATTAGCACCTAAGGTGCTTCTTTAATTTTTCTGAATATGGGAGGCGAGAGAAAATAAAGTGTTGGATGAAATGTACTCCATCGTTATCATAATTTTCTAAATTCAAATAAAATTTTGTATACATGTAACATACTGACAAAAAATGACTTCAAGACATTATGACATTTTCACATGACACCATATCCTTTGTAGCAACTTGCAACGATTAAAATAATGGCAAACAACAAAAATTAAGGGTAAGACCTAAATCCAAATACCTGAGAATGACCAAATCTCCCAGAAGGTTTCTTGCCTCTAATGTTGGGGCAACTCCAAGTCATTTCTATCATGTCCAATACCCATACATCATTGAACCTGAAACAATATTTCAAGCAACTTTCAAAAGGAAGCCAGAATAACACAGACCAAATATGCCTTTGAAGTGTCCTTTACAGTCAGGCAAAGAGGAAGTATGATCTGCAACAGTCATTTGTCCCAGAAAATCTCCAAATTTCCCTTTGGACAAGCAAAAACACTTAATGTGGCCAAAGGAGATAATAGGCCATTTGCACTAAGAGGTCATGTGACATTGTTTTTATGAAAATGAAAGTTATATGATTTTGCTTTGGAAAAACGATTAGTGGGTCATATCTTAAACAAAATAATAGTGATTTGGTTTTTCAAACCCGCACCATTTTCTTCAAATGAGTAAGTTTGTAGCTGGTCATGTGACCAAAATTTGATTTTTAAAATTATGAATTACCCCTTTCTGAACACAAATTTTGCACTTAAACGTCAAGGAAAATGTTTAAAAGATGATGTGGTAATGTTTACAGCACATCTGAGCATAGTTTAACAAGATATAAGCAAAAAGTAGTTTTGGTAGCCATGTTGGAGGGCAAGAGTATGCCCTCCAACATGGCAGCCAATACAAATCAACTACTTTGTTGAAAAATCAAAGTGCCATAAAATATCTCCCTTAAATGCCTTTCCTCTCAAATTTCAGGTGTAAGATAATTTTTATGTGCTCTGTCAATTTTTGGCATCAGCAAGATTCCAACTCATTGTTTAAAGCAAGCATTGGTCACGTGACTTCTTAGTGCAAGTGGCCTATTATATTATTGACCTATCTCTGACTCATCTTTCAGTGAAACATTTTTTAACACATTTTTTTCTCTCTTTTTGTACTGAATTTTTGGATAATTTTAAAATCCTGCTGAGGCCACAGTCATAGTTTAACACATTCAAAGACATGGTTTAAGCTCTCAGTCAAAGTATAGGACCATCATGGTAATATACCCTGAGCAAACCATCTTAACCAATCAATTATGATGAAACTTAGTTACCAGATCTGAGTTGTGAATAAGCCAGGATTAAATTGACAATGGTTGGATACAACCCTTCTTCTTTTCTTAGGCTTTTCATTTCATAAGGACTTATGAAACAAGCATAATTGGCCAACATGATTTCCATGAGTAAAGCAGGATAAATTTAAGGTTCTTCATATTTACAAATTATAAAATAACTAAGATAGTACGCCCATTCTGATTTGCATGCATATTGGTAGAAAACATGGTGCAGCAAAAGTGTTTTCCAAGAGCTCTGGGCTAGTGGAGTGACCCCTCAAGGAAGCATGTTAAGGATAAATAAATGGTACTTAGCTTCCCCTCTCCCTACACCTTCAGCAACAGCTTGCCCAAACAGGAACTGAATTTTCTAAATAATATTTATCTCACCCTTAAAATTATGTACTGTTGAGGGATTCATATATAAGTTATAGGTAACTTTTTTTCTCAGGCAATTTTTTGTTTTTTGTTTTTGGGTATGGTAATGTATGCTAATAAAGTAAAATTAAACTACAACATATACATGTATGTAGTTTCCCAAAGTGGAGAATTTGTCTGATGTTCAACAAACCTAACCTTAGCTCTCTTTGAGCGCCTCCAAACACTATCATTTTATGGCCCAAAACACATGCACCGTGTCCAGCTCTCTTGCAGGGTCTAGGCAAATCCCTATTAACAGCAGGACTTCTCCATGACAAGTTAACAATATTGAAAATATAAAGATCATCAAAGAATTTCGCCACAGAATTAATTCCAGTTCTGCTCGGTTGACACCAGCCACCGAATATCACGATATCTCTGTTGTCATAAACCACAGCTGTGGCACATTCTTTAGGGGGTGGAGGGGAACCAGATGTTCTGGGCCTAATCCAACGTTGTTCTCTTAGATCCAGGAAATAAAGATCATTAAAAGCTGTATTTGACGACGAACAACCTCCGTGTACGTACATTTTTTCTCCTATAATACAGCAGCCGTGCGAGAATCGAGGTAAAGGTGATATTCTTGATTTTGTAGTCAAGGTTCGAATCCGCAAATTACCAGTTCTCACAGCAGCATGAAAATTTTGTAACCGTTGCTTGCAAATTCTTACAATCAAACGATACCACAGACGACAGACACACTTAGCGTCAAAAAAGTCTCCATACGGTGACAAATAAGACATGATTTTCTCCACAATCTCGACAGGGATACGCGAAAAATGGCATTCTGTTTGTTTGACGCAAGTTGGTCCATCCGCCATATTGAAATGCGTCTTGTGCGTGGACTGGGATGAGGTACATTTCGTTAACACATAAACGAAGAACGTTTTCATTGACTCGAAAGGAGATGATGAGAGCACAAATTCTATAGTGGCAATAATATATTATTATTATTGTATTAGAAAAGTGAGAAAGCTTGTAAAAATGAACGACAAGGGAAGTAGTTCAGAATCTTTGCTGAATTCAGAGAAAGATGAGCTTCTTCCGAGCCGTTCAAAATATTCCTCAACCAGGTCAGCATGGACGTTTTGGTTGGTTTATACGACAGCTGTGGTTGTGCTTGGATCCTCTTTCCAATTTGGATTCGGCACGACCTGTATGAATGCGCCAGAGAAGGTAAACTCTGAAATTTATGGTTTTATTTAGTGGCCTTCGAGTTAAAGAAATCGGTGCTTGCTTGAATTGTGAAGCCGCACGTTCTCCATTCGGGCTGTAATTGTGTTAATCCGATCCCGTGACAAAATTTAGCTTTAGATGAAATTTATAATTAACCGAGTCAACTGTCTTTTTAATGTGAATGAAAAGTAAACCTAGAACCGTAACCCTAGACAAAGCAGGTACTTGCAAATTTAATTTAGTATAATATTGCCCAACGAAACGCTAGCAACCCAGTCACAGGTAGCCCAAATGTTCACCGACTGTTGCGTAATAACTTCCCAAATCTGAAGATTTGCATGGTTTCTAAACCCTACATAAATATGTGTGAAAAAGATTTTGGTAGAAACTTGGGCCTACCTCACTTAGTTAGTGTGTTCCTATACTTGAGCCCTAGTGCAACCAGTTTGATCTCTTCCTGAGCGAGGCTGGGTACTTTTCAAGGCAGTGGAATGCAAATGCTGAGGTACCCTGCAAACAGTGCCTCCTTCGATCTTCCTAGATAAGTCAGAAAGAGGAAGGAACCTCTGCTGACTTCCTCAACAATTCATATTGAGCATGCTCCAAATTCAAATTTTTATGCAACGTCAATCAAACCGTTACCAAATGTTAGCGGGAACATACCGGTTCATTTTCACCCTTCAGTATCCAGGGCTGTCAAAAAGTTTTCATGTAGCAGGCTGATAATGAATGGTAGGCGGCTTTGGAACTCGCACCAAAGGCACAAGTTCTTGAGGGCCGAGGCATCTAAGGACATTTTGAAATCTGGAGTCTTAGAAATGGCATTTCCAGGGGTTTTCAAGAGGAATTTTCCAATGCAGATGCTATGTTTTTTCGTCACTACACTCACAGCACTGGGAACAATGCCATCAAAATGTAGCAGGCATTCCACGACATCGCACGGCTCGAGGGTTTCACAGATCTAAACCTGTTCAAATATGCGTTCAATGTCATTCAAAACTGGAACACAAATGCTTTACAATTTTATTCGATGGTACTTATTTTTTGTTAGCAGTTATGGTAAAAGGGGATGAAAGTAGTCGGCTAAGGATGACTAACTAGCCGGCGGCTTTGGCCAGCTACCGGCCCTTATTGACAGCCGTGACAGTATCTGTGTTTCCTCTGGGAGTCTAAACTTGCCATGTTTCAGTATAAAGAAGACAATAAAACTAAGACCTAAGGTAATAATTACTGTGCTTTTCAAAAACATGCGACCGAACACTGAAGTTCAAAAGCAACGAGCCTTGAAACACAGAAACACACAAAACAGATCGTCGAAATCCACCAATCACAAACCATGACCTTTTGTTTCCTAAGAGGTTTGCTAAGATATAAAAGCGCCAATTCTTCAGATTATGATTGACGTTACAGAAAAACCCAAAATTCAAAGACATTTTTTACATCACAGGTGGTGTGTTATCCAGCTGTAAAAGCATTGATCATTTAAATGCAACTTGGATTCTTCAGTCTCATGATCTTATTTTGAATTAATGTTATAAATAAGCAAACACAAGAGAATAGGCATAGATATTGTTTCTTAAACTGTACTTTTAGTCAGAACCCATTAGTTTATCCTGCCAAGAACTTTGTGTAACTCTTACTGGATTGTGGATCCACTCATGCAAGTAAAATTGGCTAAGCTCTTGATTGAATGCAAAACAAAATCCATCTCAAATCAGGGTGCATTTTCCAATTTTTCTAAAACTAAATGTTCGATCTATAATTTTTTCAAAATTCCTGCATGAAATTAAAGCGGCAGCTGTTTGTTTTGTTATAGAGCATGAGTGCAGAAAGAGTCAGCAACACTCCAGAATACGCGTGCATGCACAGAGAAAACTGGTTTATCCAGTAAGAAACTTGTCTGACTCATCCAAATTGCAGAATGATCAGCAAATCAAAGGAATTTGAAGATGTCGGCAGAGTCGCTTTCTCTTTCCCAACTTATCTAGGAAAGATCAAAGCGACTCTGCTAGCAGGGTAATACTGAGGGAAAATAGCCTAAAATTAATTGCTATGTACAACAGTTACTTTCCACGTACCTCCAAATATATGTAATTGTGAAGAACAGTACCCCTTAACATACAAACAACCAACAGTAGACTGACAATCAATCAACTGTCAGCAATAGTCAGCCGACAATTGGCCAACAGTCAACCTACTGTTAGTCAACTGTTGGTCAACTTTCAGTCGACAGTAGGCCAACAGTCTACCAAGTTTTCAGAGTAAGAGAAAAATTTTGTAATCTACTTGTTCTTTGGACAACCATCATAGAAATTTTGATTGTCCAAAATGCAAAACTACATGTCGAAAATGTTTGGTTCAACTTCATTTATAAATGAAGTGAACGTAAAAGACATATAACATGCCACCTTTAGCATGTTTTCATTAATATCAACGTTAATTGAGGTATAATTTACAATGCTACAAATGTTAGTTAGGCCAGGGTCCTAATTATAAGACGCAAAGCTCACAGAAACAAATGGAATGGCCACAGAATTAATAAAGAAATTTACACTCATTTTGTCAAGTTGGAAATTTGCTTTATATGACGAGGAGATAAATTTCAGTACTATTGAAATTCATGTTTGTGTGGTTGTAATTCAGCAATCAATCAATCAATCCTCTTTCCAGTTGGGATCCATCTCAAGGCAACTGTGGGTGTTCTTCACACAACCCTCTAAAAATAAACACTCTTTGCACTCTTTTCAACTACATACAAAACATAATTCTCACAGTTTACTATAATAATTATAGTAAACTGTGTTGATAAAAATTATTCTTATCAACACATTAATTTTTAGTCCCTCCTCTTCAACACACAAATTCACATCGCGACCGCACTTTTAATCCCCGATCGCGAGTTATTATTAAGTCCTAGTTCTTAAATGCAAAACTTTTTGTGGGACTGAATTATAGACTTACTAAGCTCTTGAGTAATATAATATTATTCATGAGTGGACATACGTGTAGGATTTTAATTTTTGGTCAGTTATAGAAGGCAGTTTGCTAGAGATTGGAGCCCGATTGACCTCTGTACGTGAATCAATTCATGTGGTATTGAAATACATAAAATTACTAGTGTTCATTAAGGAAAGATATACAATATTTGAGTACCTGTTGATCCCTACAACTCTTCCTGCATTTTGTTTGTTTAGTTATATTGTCTGGTGTATGTGAAGGGTTTTTTAAGATTAATTTAAATTTGATTGTGTTTTTCTTTCATAACAGAACATTAAAGATTATTTCAGAAAGCATGGAACATTTACTGAACTGATGTGGTCAACAGCAGTGGCCATATTTGCAATTGGTGGAATGTTTGGTTCAGTTATTGGTCAAATCATAGCTAATTTCCTAGGAAGGTACATGGTCAATTTTCGTGTTATCAAGCATTGCAAAAACAAGTCTCTGTCCTCTAGTCTAAAATTATTTTCTTGACACATTTTTAAAATATTTTTTCTGATTTTCCTTGACAGTAAAAGAACCCTGTTGCTAAACAATATACCAGCAATTATTGGCTCCTTGATGATATTTTCTTCATACTATGCTAAAGGACCAGCCTTACTCATTATTGGACGACTTATTTTTGGATTTAATAATGGTAAGGGTTTTGCTGCATCTATGTTGTTCATTTTCTTTATGATGCTTGTAGTTGTGATTTTGCTACAGCACCAAATAAGTTGACAATATAAAGAGTGCCATAAAGTATTCATCTATTGATTTAATTAACTATTTTTCCAAATTGCTTTTTTTTTGTTTTTCTTTGTTTTAAAATAATGCTTACACAGCAGATACATTGTACAATAAAAGAATAGCAGGACACCCTAGACCTGTTCAAGATCCTCCTTTGTAAATTACAGATACATGCTGTACACTGTAAATATCTTAGGAGTTGGACATTATTTGCTCTCTTAACTCATCTAGGTCTTTAGTTTTTGACTTGGTAAAGTTGATATATATACAGGGTGTATTAACACAGGTTAGATAAGATACAGTGTAGTAATATTGTTTTGATCAGTACAATTTTTTTTTTTTTTTAATTTTTATTTTATTATCATTATTCATTTTTATTTATTTATATTATATTTATCTATTATGTTATCTGCTTACTTATTTATTAAACTATATTTTTGCTGGTGTGATTGTATCTTCAGAATAGTAAATTTAAATCAATTTCAAGCATTATAAATTTGGCAAGACAATCTTCTAATATGTATTATTGTATTGACTTTGATTTTTGGTTTACTTTAGGTATAAACACTGCCGTTGCTCCAGTATACTTATCAGAAATAGCTCCCATCAGAATACGAGGTGCTCTTGGGGTACTCAATCAGTTTGGAATAGTCACAGGAATGCTTGTAGGCTATATTTTGGGGCTTAAAGAAGTATGTTGCTTAAGCTTTTAAATATCCTTAGATCATCAAACTTCAGTTTTAAAAAAAAATAATCATTAACATAACAAAGTTTATAAATGAAAAAAATTACGGTGGAACCCTGTCTTACTACCATTAGGTAATACAGTCACTTCGTAATATTGTCACATTTTTTCAGGTCAGCAAAACAGCCATACCTTTTCTTATAAAAAAAACCCTTGTTAATATGGTCACCCGTTGATACGGCCAAAGGCCCTATCTAAAAATCCTAAACAGTAGAATCTTTTATAATGTCAACCTGTTAATATGGTCACTCACTTGAAATTTAGAAAATTGAATCACCTATGAAAGTCCATTCAATTGACCTAGCAAGCTGAGCCTGTTCTTGTATTATTTTTAGACTACAGTGCACTTAAGATGTATTGGGTGATTCCAGAAAATATCCATACCCTACCACGGGTGGCATGAGTATTTTAACCCCCCCTTGCCCACGGAAATTCCAAAATGCTTATCCCCCCCTTGCCCTCCGAATTCCAAAATCGCTAACCCCCCCTCTCCTCCGGAATTTTCCACTTTTGTTTCAGACCCTTTGGAATTCCTGTTCGTCTGCCTAAATCTTCAAACGAACGAGAAACTTGCACTTTTTCCCTCTGCAAAAGAATTCTGTTCACAATTTTTACTCAGACGATCAAGCAACTCAAGTTTGTTAACGTTAGTACACCGTAGCTATTCCTTCTAAGCATTATCTTTAAGCTGCTTACCACCTAATAGAACTTTTTGTTTTCCATTCAATACCGTCATATTTTCAGGAGTAGATCGTATTGATACCAGTGGACGCTGACAAGAGTAAAGTTTACGATCGATATTCCGTCACCTGCCATATTGAAAATTTAAACAGTTTTGAATTAAACAGCGCATCAAAAGGCACGCTGTCGGATTTTACTACCTACATGTTGGCGTGGAAATCGGCGTGAAATACAAAATCTGTCAGGCGTTCTATTTGGAAACGAGAGACTGGTACGAGTTTTCAGCACAGCACGCAACAACACATCGTCGATCAACAATCGGCGAGAAACACCGACTTGGTTATATTTTTATTAATCAGTTGACTAATTCCTCAACTTTAAGGCCTCTTCCATGTGGAGCTTGCTGCACAACCCATCTGCTTATCCCATCTACATGAACACATACTTCTTCCGTGGTCGGTTCGTGCTTCATTTACAAACTGGGAATGTTAACAGGTCAGCGATTTCAAGTGGAGCTTTCGCCGTCTTTCCTCTGGAAATTCACTGAATTCAGAGCTGAAACACCCCCCCATGCCTTTGGAATTCCAAACTGCGTTACCCCCCCACGTCTTCGGAATTCCAGTCCAAGAAACCCCCCCTCTCCCTCGGAATTCCAAGATGCCGCCCGTGGTATGGTATGGATATTTTCTGGAATCACCCATTTGTGGTGGTTTGATAGTCGATTTTTAAGAGTGTTTAATATACTGAAGGAAAGTTTCAAGTAGTTTTTACAAATAATTTCTAGTACAGTCGAACCTCGATTATCCGGAGCTCGGTTATCTGGACTTTTCGATTATCCGGACTTGTTTCCCTGGTCCTGTTTTTTTCATAAATGTTAATAAGATGTGATATTGAAAAATTGAATTGATTAAAAGCTCAATTACCCTTCCAAACATGTGTTTGAAACAGTGATTTAATCTGGTTCGCTTTTAAAAAGCATGAGCGACAAGAGGTGGACAATTATCTGATGCATTCAGCTGCATTCTGATTGGCTCAATTATTTTGCTATTAAGGGAATGTCATGCTTGATTCTGTGTTTGTTATGTAAACACAAGAACAATCTATCATAAACTCAAATCACGGCCTTGTCTATGCAATAAAAGTGGTCCATTCTATTGATAAAAGATAAGCAAACAATAGTTGTTTGCTTATTGTTTATCTATTTCACATTTGGAGAAAGGCAAAAAAGGAACAAATTTAGGCTGCACTCAGTTTAAAATCAATCTTGCAGCAGATATCAGATATATGCAAAAGCAAAGAGAAGATCCTGAAATTCACTGACAGCATTGTGACAAGTGAAGGATTGAAAATACATAAATACTTACAGTTTGTACATTTAAGAAAAGTTTAGTTTTTCTAAACACCATTTCTGCAATTGGTATAGGATTTAATGGAGCTGAAACCAATTGTGGAATTGCATGCATTTTAGGCATCCTACTGATGAACATGCAGTTGCGACACGTAGATATATTTTTTTTAGCAACTAATATAATTTGCAGTCTGTCTACTTTGATTTGTTATTATTGTTGCTATTTATTATTTTTGTTAGTCAATGTGTCTAATTTTTGACTGACATACTGACATTGTAATGTCCTTTTAGCGTACAAAGTGCTTTAGGCTATTTTGCAGTGCAAAGGATAATACTATAGTTATGATCATGATACTATACTTATATTCTCCTGCCATATTGGATGTGGAAACTGACAGAGAGGGAGAGGTTGCCTCCAGTTCCCCTCCTCCCTTTAAGTTTTTCAATTGCTTTCAAGATGGTGGCCGCAATCAATGTACCTTTAAGCTTTTATTTAAAAGAATGCCTGCTCTGGAGGCCATATCCTTATGTAACTATGCACCTAAAGATAGAATTTTATATAAAATTTGTCATTTTGTGGCTTGTTTAAACCATTGTGTTGTGTCATGTCTGGTCGGGCATGAGAGCATAAATTATGCCACTAATTGTCACATCTTTAAATTGTGTCTCTAACCAGGGTCTTTCATCTGTATGTGCATGTACTCCCCATTCCTTATGTTTTGGCTTAAATGTCTTTGCCAAACAATTCAGTAATACATTGTATAACATCCTGAAATTAATGCTTTGGCATTGAATTATAAAAGCTGGTGCATATTACTTTAAGACTGTGAAACGAATTAGTGGATGACAACTTTATACTGTAGGCGTAAGTCATTGTAAACATCCAGGCATTAATTTCTGATTGTGCCCTAATTTGTGGCTTTGTTAATGTAATGGATGTTGTGTGAACTTTATGATTTTGTTTTACCGGTGGCAGGTTCTTGGTACAGACACAGGCTGGCCTTACTTACTTGGATTTGGATTTCTTGTTGCCATGCTTCAACTGATTACCCTGCCATTTTGTCCAAGAAGCCCACGTTATTTGTTACTTAAGCTAAACAAAGAACCTGAAACTGTAGAAGGTAATATACTTTATTTTGCTTATTTTGCATTTGACATTGCCTTGATAAAAAGAACATTGATGTACCTACAGTAGAATTCTGATTTTTCTTAACACCCTATTTCCCAGAACTTCTGAAAATTCGAGCCTTCATCTAATTTCCCTTAGTCAGTCAAACACTGTCGTCGACAGGCCTGGGTCCCCATTCGGGCAAATATGGTCAACCATTTTCCAATTTATTTAAATATATATATATATATATCCCCCAACAAAAAACACTTACTTTGAAAACAGATATCTACATGCAGTCAGGCAATTCTGCTATCCTGTATGTTACAGTAATGTTGAATGATGCTTTGTTTTTTTTTTTTACTCCCTTTATCTCTATTCATTTGCTTTTGCTTTTCATTTTTCATTTTTGTTTTGTCCTGTCCTGTATGTGTGAAAGTCATATTTTTTTGCCTAAAAAGTGTTGAGGAGTATGCATTACCTACCTACTTAACTCATTTAATGGTCATTTCTGGTGTCAGTTGATGAGTACATGTATAATGACAGGCAGGTTTTCTTTTTTTTGCACACTCACAGTACTGTTATACTTGAAAATATTCAGTGCATTAATGAAAGTAAATTTACTTAGTGTTAATTAAGGTGAACTCATTAATTGTTTTGACACAGCCTTGATAAAACTAAGGGGAACTTCCAATGTGAGTGAGGACATTGAAGAAATGAGGGTATGTTTCTCATCAAACATTTATTTTGCAACTAATTTTAAGAGGCAGTGTGGTAATAGCTTGACTTAATTGTTTGGTCATTATAAGAATATTGGAGGTACCAAAAGAGTACTGCAACTCTTGACAGTCTCGCCAACTTACAATCATCACTAAATAGTAAATAAGGTTAAGAGATGATACCACTCATGCTCACTTTTTAACAGATTTCCTCTCCATCCTTTTTTATTACTATTTTATAAAATGAATGTGATAATTTGTGTACATGACTGTTCCTCTTGCTGGGTTTCTTTGAGTAAATGTATCTTTTAACTGATGTGGTACTTGTGACATTTGAGGGGTGACCTATGAAGAAAGTGTGTAATCTACAGGACAGGTAGCCCAAGCTCAATTGAGCGTAGAATGCACATGGCATGTGTGAGTCGTTGTTTTCCAAAGATCAGTTTAAAGGTTGTGAAGGTTTGTATGGGATCATTACCAATTTGATTTTAAAAGATCAGTGCAAATACCTTAATGTATTAAATTAATTATAATAATGAACAATAATTTTACTTCTAAAATTGAATTGGTTGTGATGTGTTGTAACACGTAAAGCACCACACAAAGTGAACCACTGAACTCCATTGAGCTTGGGTAGCCTGTGCATACAGTATTTGGTTCACTAGTAGCCATTGTGAATAGTGTTCCAAAACCATGAGTACAGGTATGAAGACTGTTAGCACATATTACTGTTATTTCAACAGGGTGAGCAGGAGAATCATCTGAGAGAAGAAAAAGTCAGTGTGTTAAGATTGGTTCAAATCAAAGAACTAAGGAAACCTCTTGTGATAAGTGTGGTGTTACAGCTGGCCCAGCAGTTCAGCGGAATTAATGCTGTATGTTAATACATCCTGATACATTATTAAGTTTGTGCCATGTTGTAAAGTAAATGGAAGGTGCCTGCATAACATGCATCTTCTTCGGGTCTGCAAAAGTCCACCAAAAGGGGGTGGGGAAGTGGGACTGGGAGAGAAAAGAGAAAAAACATGTTTTCTTCTCCCCTCCCCTCTCCCCTTCTGTTACTTTAACCCTAACATCTACTTTGTCTATCAATGTTCTCATCATTGATAGACATGGTAGCCACGGTAGCAAAAACATAAATAAACTGCTTTTGCATGCCCCAAAATATACCTGTGCTACAAGCTATGGTAATTTAATTGCTAGTAAACACAAGATAAAAGGCAAAAAAAGTGTGGCTGGTATCAATAAATGATTTTGTAAATCACAAAAAACATTTAACATACTGTTTGTAGGTGTTTGTATCCTCTAGAACTCTTTCAGACTCACATTTTTGGCCATTTGTTGCTCTAAAAAGAAGTGGCAACCCCACTAAAGAGCACTTATAATATTTGTTGAGTAAACAGAAGGATCTATACAAAGATCTCAGAAATTTGGACAAGAGATTTTGCTTTCACCAAATTGTTACCTCAACTGTACCTTTGCTTTGGGGTACAGGGGCCTTGTTTTGGCTTTTCAAAGGTTTCCAAGCCATTCGTGTGAGATCTTACCGCCTTATCTATATTACCTCCCTCAGCAAAAAGAAAGCAGTCAAGAATTCAACATAATTAAATCCGTTTTGCCTGATCTGCCTCGTTAACATCTTAATTACGCATTATGGTCTGTACATGTAAACTCGGTACAGTAAGTTCATCATTACTGCCTACTGAAAATGTCACTAATGAACAGTATGCAGATATAAAGGCAGACTCAGACACACACTCTCTCTCTCTCCCGTATAATTACTTAGTAGAGTTATGTGTTATCCATAGCTAATATTTTTTCACATGGATTCGATTCAACAAAGAGTGTGACAAGTCTCCAATTCTTGTCACTATCATGCTGGTATGACTGATGTTAGATGATCTAAGGGAATGATAAACCATCAAGCAATTTTCATTTTCTTGTAGGTATTTTATTATTCAACATCAATATTTGCATCAGCTGGTGTGAAAGAGGGCCGTGTAGCATCTGTGTTTGTTGGTGTTACTAGTTTGGTCATGACTGCTGTTACTGTAAGTTGCTCATTGCACGGGCAGACCATCCCATATTCATGTGGCTGCTGTTGTCATTGGAAGCTGAGCATCGATCTATACTGTACCTGTATAGAAGAAAATTATTAGAAAGAAACATTATGGCGGCTCTATTTGCTCCAAAATACAAATTTCACTGTAAATGTATCATTTAAAGTGTCTTCAACTTGTTTTCCGAAGGCCACAAGTTTATTGTCATTACTGACTGACTGACGTAATTCATATATTTTGTTATCTCAAGCGTCAATTTGTGCGATCTTTTTCCACCGCCAAATGCAAAATAAAGCTGAAAAACTCTTTTCCTCCTAAACTTTATATTATGGAACAAATTGAAACCGCGGAAATGTTCATTCCTATTTGTTAAATACCATAGGTCGATGCTCAGTTTCAGTAACAACAATGCCTCACATCAATAGAGGGTGGTTTGCCTTTACTGCTATATAGTCCTCTCCTAGTGAGCTGTCGGCCAACTTTCAGTTTAGTGAGTGACTAGCTTGTGTAGCTGGCGGGATTATTACTTCGGGGATACTTACTTGATGGCGATGCTGTCGCTCAAAGCAAACGGTGGAGCCGCCAGGGAAAATCCGTTTTACTGGTTCCCAATCCTCTAATCCTGCCAGGTACTTATGCAAGTTAGAGACTCAAGAAAAACCTTTCAAGGATTTGTTCACAGTACTACTGAATTCAACCCCACGGCCCAGCACACTTGTAAATAGCTTACTGGTTTGCCTCCTGTTAGTTCAGTTTCTTTAGCTTGTTACGTTACTTTGTTTGATTTATCTGTTCAGGCCACTTCCTTGGCCAAACTAGCATTTGTGCTATAAATACTCATTACTGCCGAGGGTAACTAAAGGTTGCAAATAACCTATCCCTGAAACAACATATCTGTACTATATTGGATCCTGCTGAGGCCAAATGTTTTTTTTTTTGTGTTTGTTTTTGTCGTATCAGTCTTGTATGTGTCTTGTTGTTTGATCTTAGAGTACTCTCACGATTTTGTTAAAACTGCAGGTAAAAGTAGTAGAAGTTATGGGACGGCGATCATTACTGCTGTTTGGTCAAGCTGGCATGTTTGTGTTTTATGCAGTGATGACAATATCCTTCCGTTTTGAGGTAAGACTCATCTCAAGGGATACTTTTATAGTCTTTTTGCTAGAAAAAGATGGCATTTGAGCGTTCAAGCTGAACATGATTGTAAACTGAGTAAGACTGTGATGAAAGATCATGTTTGAAGATACTAAATTCAGTGGACGGCTTCTGTCTGAATGAATGTACGGTTTGGTACTGTCTACAACGACCGCAGCCGCTAAATTTGTTGTAATATACATTGTTATGCAGTGCGATGAGTTGAGGTAAATTCTAGTGCAATTTAAACTGTAAATGATGTTTGTTGCTCTTGGTGATTGCAGGATTTATCCGGAATGAATTACGTGTCAGTGGTAGCAACGTTGTTGACTGTGACCTTTTTCCAACTTGGTCCAGGTAAAGTTGCCAGGACTGTTTTACTTGTAGATCGTCTTCTCGCCGTAATGTTAGTAATCCTGTGGTATGGGAAACCTTGGAGATTAGGACGGGAATACGATTGACAGTTATTTAATTAATTATTTAATAAATCATTGACGTTTATTTCGTAAACTTAGTAAACTTTTTGTGGAGAATGAGTTGAAATGACTAATGAGGGTGAAAGTGCACTGAAGCTTGAAACAAGATTTCCAAGCATCACCTTAATTGTCATGCCTTCAAAATCAAATCACAAAGTACGCGTTTTTAACCCATTCGCCCTCGTGAATTTTGCCGAAAAACGCATAGTTGGGCGGTTTTGTAGTCACTGTCTGGCTATAAGGAGCTAAAGCTAAACACAAAGCCGTTTACAGGTCGTACATTCGCGGCCTTCTGATCCAGATGCAAACTATTAGCTTGCGAAGATCGGGCATGCACAGAAAGTAAAGTTTTGAGATATTTGACGTTTTCTTTTCGCTTTCTTTCCTCCCCCCTTCTTTCGATTTTCTCGCCTCATTTTTTCCTTTTTCTGGTCACTTAGTAGGCTTTATTTCGGTGCGAGAAGTTTTTGGAAATTCTTTTAGGATCTTGGGATTGGTTGAAAGGAAAGGTAGGTGGGGAGTGGAAGTAGATTTTCATGGAAATTTTCGGGTCAATGTTACAGGGTTTTTCCCTTTTTCTCCGTTATCCTAGACTGAATTGTGCTTATTCTGTCATGGTTTGAAAGATCTCTTCACCCTGCACATGTTAGCGGACAAACTTCTCCTTAACCGTTAAAACTGGTGATATCACAAGAGGTAGAAGGGAAGTGGATCGGCACGGGCGGTTACGAGCGGTTCAGGGGTGAATGGGTTAAGTAACTTGCACGTTTTTGTCGTTGTATTTGTGAATGAATCCTTTTGTTTTGTTTATTTGTCTGTAGGTCCAATCCCATGGTTCATCACAGCTGAACTGTTCTCCCAGGGTCCCAGGCCCGCCGCGGTTGCTATGGCAGGGGTGGTTAACTGGCTCGCAAACTTTATCGTTGGACTTGTGTTTCCCTCAATGCAGGTCAGTATTCAGGTTGAACTTTGTTCCTTATTGTAAAGTGTTATTAACAGTGTCTTTAATGTTTTGTTTAGGCAGCCTTGACGCCTTATACCTTCCTGGTTTTCATGGTGCTTGTGGCGTTTTTCTTTGTCTTTACTCTAATTTATGTACCGGAAACAAAAGGAAGAACTATTGAGCAAATAACAAGTCATTTCAAGGCCGACTCAGAAGAACCGAATGGGGTTCACGTCATCTATGAAAGAGATCATAATAACTAAACAGACAGCTTTTGAAATAATGAAGTGCGAAAGAACAATCGAACCTTCCTTAGGCAACAACCTTAATACTAAGAAGTTGGTGTTGGCTCAGTTACACGAGGTGTTGTACAGGAAGGGTCAAGTGTATGAATAATTTTAATCCAAAGTTTATTTATGTGATAATTAACCATCTGTACATGATTTCTGTGGACATGAAACAATTCCAAATTATTTATAAACTAATTATGTGCTGATAGCAGTTATTCTAAAGCACATTTCTCTTCGCATCCTGAATGGTTGTTTCTATAAAGAAAATATAATTTATAATAATGACAATAGCTAGTTAACACAACAGTAAATCTTAGCAATAATAAATTGGAGGAAGTCCACTCTTTTTTCCAAAACTGCTGTTAAAAGTGAAGTGTTGATTTCACACACTGGTTTCTCAAGTGACTGGAGGTAGACTTTGGCCGAGTTGCCATGGTGACCTCCTAGGTGCTAAGAAGATGGCTGCCTTCATCTGTCACTACGGCAGCTACACTCCGATACTTCAATTGGCTGAGAGTTGAATTAAGTGATATTTTCAGACAATTTTGTCACCTTTTGCCGCTAATGGTGGAAAATATCTATATTTTTTGGTGGTACTTGCTACAGTTCTGTACGTTAGAATTCCAAACCGTCACACTATCTAAAATGCATACATTACTTACATATTCTGAAGAAAATAGCTGTAATGCCAATACTTGTTTTGTGAGAAGTGAAATTTCTGTCATTGTACTGAGACTCTTGAATTAATGAATAAATGAATGAACGAACGAGTGAATGAAGAAATAAAAGAAAGTTCTACTTGAGTCAAATAAAACGTCCATTGTTTACTAACAAGTAAGACCATTTTTTGGTGGTATTTACCAAAGCTAGGCATGTTAAGGTGGTCGTTGGTATCATAAATTATGAATGGTATTCGCCATGTAGTAATAAATTATTTGCATGTTGTGTTCATGTGATCGGTGCATATGTTAAAAACATGTTATCTTTAAACACTTCCATCCCTAGGAAATCAAGGGTGAGAAGGCTTAGCTAAGTAATTCTTAAGAATGTACTAGGATAGTATTTTTTTAAAAAAAAGAAATTATATGACAGAGTTTAACTTAATGATAATCATTGTTAAAGTGAATGATGTGTGATTGTAAACGAATAGGATGACCTAAATAAATTACTGCGACATAAATGTCAGCAATTGGTATAGTCCAGTCAAATTGTGGTTTACCATCAACAAATTGCAACAGGATTTTTTTCAACGCCATTTTAATCGTTGGATGGCTGTTTAACAACATACCAAAAATCCGCCAAAATCGGTTCGGTGACACATGAGATAAATTGGCAATAAAGATTTTCAACTTTCACCACAGGAAACGCAATTTCAGGAAGATCGCAAATTCAGACAAAACATCTGATAATTGTTTTTTTTTTGCTTCCTCGAGAATTTTCGATACAACATCGATCGCTAAAAACGCCGACTAAATGTGTGAGAAACACCTACAGGTAGGTCAGTGTTTCTCCTTGACTGCTTTGCACAGGTTACCCAGCCACTCGTCTGTCTTCACATTCTGTTTTCCAAGCTTTATTTTTTTTTTCTATGACGGTATTTAAAGGGAAATTATTAGTCAGTCTGTGTTAAAAATATTAATAATTAATTTTTTTGCGCAATATCAGAAATGTAGTAAGAATTGTAGCAGTTTTACGGGCTTGTAATTTTTTATATCCTGCTAAATTTGCATCCATGCTGCAGGATACGTGCGACTAAATGTGTGCAACGGACGATAGCTTTGTATCAGTACAAACTGTTTAACCTACTCCCGTATTCTGTAATCGAGTTTTGTGAGGTAGTTATGTTCAAACCTTGGACACAATATGTGTGATGGAAATCAGGCATTCTTATTTTTTCTCGCGACATGTGCAGCCTCCCTTAGGATTATGACACCGTACTTTATAATGTGAGTGAATAAATATTCTGCTAAGGACTCGGTCTATTTGGTTTTTGCTAGATCGTGACGCTCTGCGCTTTTCATTACATGCGGCCTAATCTGTTGTAGGGGAAATCCAGAAAACCAAGCGCAGCGTGATAGCTCTTCTTTATCTTCTTCTTGTAGCGAGTCTCAGATTTATTTAACTGTATCTGTGTGTTCAGTTTCTATTTTCTGTCGCAGCTCTTCGTTTCTTGGTAAGATGAATAAGTAGATTAATCGCTTTGAGGTCTAAAAGCGTTTATTTTCCTTCCTTGCGTTTCGTTTTGAGAACAACCCTGAACCTTGACCAGTTTTTGTCGTCCATTGGCAAATGAAGACCTCTTTTTCTATAACGATCATGGGATCGTATACGTCTGAAAATAATTGCAGTGGTCAATGAAGGCGCGAAAGTGCTGGACATATGTACGACATTAATGGGCTTGCCTGACTTAGCGTCTAATGGCTTACCTCTTTTTGGGAAACCTATGTTTCTCTTCGGATGAGCGTTGTGTAACACTTCAACTTGGGGACTGTGCAATAATTACCTGGAGGGGGGCGGGGTTGGTTGGAAAATTAGAGGGGGGGGGGG